AGTCTCCCACAGCATCTCAAGTCCTAAGCAAAACAGACAGATTTACCACCAGATTAACACACATGGCCTGGAGTCCAACTGGAAAATGGAGTTCTTGTTCCCAACTGAAAATTCTTGAGTGCCTGGTCTTTAGCAGTTGCATTTCTGTGCGCATTTTGGTCTTTTGAGCTCTGACCAGAATCTCCTGTCAAGCTCAGCTTACAGCACTCTAGGGCTGTTTCTCTAGCCAGCATCTCCAAACGCTTTTGAACCCCAACAACCAACTCCAAAGGCTGCTGAACTGCATGGTCAGGTAGTGTTATAGCGACAATCCCAAAATCTGGTACCAAAATTTGTCTTAGTTAACTTCCCTAGTTGCTGGGACAATATACCCAACACTTACAACTTAAGGAAGGAGAGGTTTACTTTGGCTCACATTTCAGTCTATAGTGAGCAGTCTCCAAGGTGAGGCAGCATGGCAGAGGGACAAGCCAGAGGAAAAGGTGCTCACAGCACAGCGGACAGAAGCAGAGAGCACCAAAGGAGGATCTAGGAAGAGAGATGATGCCCAGTGACCTGCCTCTTCCAACAGCACCCCACCTGACAGCAAGTCACCTATAAGCTCCCATTATCCAACCACCTTCCAAAAGCTCCACCTACAAGTGTGTGAGGCTCTTCAGATATAAACCATAACAAGAAGGAACAAGATAATCAAAAAACCTGACACACAGAAACATAATCTATAATTAGAAGCATTCTCACAAAATACACAGACAAGCTGGGCGTGGCAGCACACGCCTGTAATCCCAGCACTTGGGAGACTGAGGCAGGATTGTTGCAAGTCTGAGGGCAGCCTAGACTACAAAATGAGCTCTAGGTCAGCCTGAATTGCACAGCAAGACCCTGTCTCAAAAAGACACACACACACACACACACACACACACACACACTCACACATTCTAGGCTAGGAAGGCATGATTAATTCTCCCAAACATTATAAAAGAAATAACCCTGCCCAAACTCTCACAGAACACAGAAAATGAGAGATCATTTCCAAACTCATTCAATAAGGCCAGAATAATCTTAATATCAAAATTATGACAAATACCTTGTAAGAAAATAAAAGGCCAATCTCTCATGAAGACATATGCAGAAATCCTAATCAAAATTCGATCTCCATATGAAAAGATACCGAATCAAGTCATTCTGACAATGTGTCTTCTAAAACTGGACATTGCCAGGTGTGGTGGTGCATGCCTTTAATCCCAGCACTTAGGAGGTTAAGGCAGTAAAATTGCACCAAGGTCAGTCTAAACTACAGTGAGAACTTGTCTCAAAAAAACCAAAATGAAAGTCAGGTGTATTGGTACATGCCTGTAATCCCAGCCCTCTGGAGGCTGAGGCAGGAGGATCATTGTGAGTTAGAGACCAGCCTGGGCTATAAAGTGAGCTCAAGGCCAACCTGAACTGCATTGTGAGACCTTGTCTCAAAAAGAAATAAAATTTGGAATCAATATGTATAGTTCATATAGCAACAATCCATGAAAAAACCTACAATCATATACAAATTTTGATAAAATTCATTTTTTATTCATGAGTTTAAAAAACTTAGCAAAGTAGGTAGTAACAGATTGATCTTTCTTTACTGAGTAAGAAGAGTTTATCATCCTAAACTATAATTAATAGTAAAATACTGACAGCTTTCCTCCTTGATACTGCAGGACAAAGATGCACTGTACAAAGGTCCTAATAAATATGATCAAACAAGAAAAAATAAGTTGTAAAGACTCCAAATAAATAATTCTTCACAGATAACATAACTGTACATAAATGAAATCTTTTAAAAATTTATAAATTATTTTAATAAGTTAAATTATCGAGGCTATTGGAAATAAGGTTGATATAAAAAAAATCAATTTGTCTCTAGACAGTGGTAAGCAACATTGGCTTGCAATAGTTTGAAAAACATTTAAAAACTCAGGAATATGTAAATCTTTTGGAAAATGTGAAAGAGAACTTCCTACAGAAATTATGAAAATCTGAGTAAGCTGGGCATGGTGGCATATGTCTCCAATTCCAGCTTCTAAGGAAGGAGTGTTCTTCCTTAGGAGGCTGAGGCAGGAGGGTTGAAAATTTGAGGGGAACTTATCAAGGTCCTGTATCAAAAAAAGAAAAAAAAGACTTTTTTAAAAGGCTGGGGATATAGCTCAGTGCTCTGTGGGCTCAATCTCCAGTGCTGGAGTGGGGTGGGGTATAAATAAGACACCAGGAAGATGGCCATCAGCCAGCGTCAACCGAGCACAGCAAGTCAGTTCTCCTCAAAGTACCTGGTTATTATAAACCTAATAGAAATCCCTGTAAATCTGCGAATGCCAAGTGTCAGTATGTAACAAACTCATTTAAACATTTATTTGGAAATGCAAGGATCAATATTAGCCAAGACAATTCTGAAGAAGTCAAAACTGGAGAATGTGCAGTAATGTATAGTATGGAAACATGAAAGTGCTAACTGAGACAATGTGATATTGATATAACTAGGCCAGTGGAACGGACAACCTAGAAAGAGAACAGACACTTGATTTATGAAAAAGATGATAGTACAAATAACAGGGAAAAAGAATATGTTTTCAACAAATAGTGCTGGTTCAAATCAGGTAAACATAAAAGGTGAAAGAGTAAAACTTCTAGAAGATAACATGAAAAAAAGCTTTATGACCTTGTGTAATAACATAACAATAAAATAGACTGTTAAGTTATATATTAATATAAAGAACTTGTTTTCATCAAGTTAAATGCCACAAGCTGTAAAAAGATATATGCAGTGCATATATTCAATAAAAGTTGCACAACTGAAACATATGAAAGTCATAGTTGTATGTTCAGAACAGGACGCTCAACAACAAAACTGACAACAGGCATACATACATATTTCGCAGAAGACAATGGCCAAGGTTCAGTTAAGCAAATGAAGACATGCTCTTCAATATATGTGCAGGGAAGTGCAGATCAAAACCAAGAGACATTACTGACACCCCTATGAAAATGGCTAAGGTTAAAAATACTGACAAAACAAAATGTTGACAAAGATACAGAGCAATAAATTAATAAACTGCTCATGAGAGCTTAAAGGGGCGTAACTACTTTGGAAGCTGTTCGGTAATATCTATAATAAAGATGCATCTACCTGTATCTGTATCCACATATTCCTATGACCCACCAATTACAGTCCTCATTATTTACTATAGTGCTCATTATATACTAACAGAAATGCCTCTGCGTGCAACAAAAGCTCTACGTGAATGTTCCTGGAACATTACATAGCCAAAATGTGGAAAAGACAATTTGTAGAATAAGTTGTGAGATTTAGTCACACAAATACAATAGAACAATGGGACTGAAGAAATGACAGCTGTACGTTTTGGCACAAGCAATCCGCCATCACCTCCTTCTGTCCTATGCCTGTTACATCTTCAGCTCTCCATTTAGTTCTTACCTCTTGTTCACTGGCTACTTTGTTTTGCCACATGTACCTATCCATACTTCTTTCATGGAATATGCAGAGTAAATATGAGTTTCAATGATTTTTTTGTTGTTTGGTTTTATGAGTACTAGGGATTGAACCTAGGGCCTTTGCACTGAGCTACATCTCCAGCACCCCCTCTCCCTTTAAAACTTTGAGACAGGGTCTCATTAAATTGCTGACTTGTCCAGGCTGCGCTCAAACTTGCCATCCTCCTGCTTCATCCTCCCAGAGTGCTGGGATTACAGGCCTGTGCCACCACGCCCAACTGCTTTTTAGTTCTTAAAATGTTTTAAAATCCAAACAAGGGGGCTGGGGATTTAGCTCAGTGGCACAGCGCCTGCCTAAGCACAAGGTCGTGAGTTTGATTCCCGGTACCAGAAACCACCCACTACCCCCAAAAAATCCAAATGAACGAGTTTGCAATTCTGGTTCACCATGAAAAGTATAAAATCAATCTCAACAAGATTTATGCTGAGATCAAGAATCCTGATTAAACTCTTAAATCATTCGGGTAAGGGCATATAAGCTTCTTCCTCCTCATTTTCCTTTCCTTCATTCTTTGTCCCAGGCTTTTAAAATGTTAAAAAAAAAAAAAAATCATTCTTAGCTTGAGAGCTGTAAAAACTAGTATGATATCTTAGTTGGTAGAGGCTTTTGAGGAAGGAGGCTATACCTAAAGACAGAAAGCTATGCGGGGAAAAAGAAAATAGTTCTCAGCACTCCACCTGGTGGTCTGAGTGGATCTAAATGACACGGGCTGCAGAGCAACACGAACTGCAGACAGATGTGCACCTGTCCCTTTCTTGGCCAAGTGTAGATTCCCAATAGGTAATGGGGAAATAACTAGTGGGGAGAACAAGCCGGGGAGCTGGGCACACACACAAGCAACCAACACACTGTAAAAGACAACTGAGAGATCATGAAAGCATAAACTAACCCAGTTCCTATGGGCACCTCAGGGTTATCACATAAAGAGAAATAATATAACCAAGGCACTATGTGAATTACTCAGTAAGGACAGGAATTAAGAAGTTAATGGCAAATGGTGATATACAGAACTTTAAACAACAGGGGTAAGAAAAGTGATCAACTTCTCTTCAAACAAATCTTTGTAATGAACTTTGAAAAACAAAACCACCTCTGAGTATCTGTAAGAAATTACCTGCCAGTCATTTAAGAAAAATAAAAAAAATTCAGCTTAAGGGGAAAATTTGGTTTTTTGCTTTTTTGCACTCTAAAACTAGACACGTTCCAATGTGGACACACTTAATGGAATGCAAATAACAAATGAGATGAGAGGGGTATTATCAGTCAACACGAGCTGTTGTTCAGGGACCACCACTTGCATTTTGAAACGCTGGCACCTTCCGTCTCATCAAGATTCTCTACATTTAACATGCCTTTTTCTTTTAAAGAAAAGTTTGAACCAATAAATGCTAACTCAGTCCATCCATTTCCCGAGTGAAGAATACACAATACATAAGGGCCAGACTGCACACCAAAGGAAAAACAAATACTTTTATTGCACATTATAAAATCTGCACAGTTGTATCAAGTGTTCCTCCTTCTTGTGTTTCCTCTATTAATCTTTAAATTTTGGTTCAAACATAATTCCCAGTTAGGAGTATTTTAAAAATGGTTTTATCTCTAAATATACATATATATATATTTTTTCTTTTTACAAATCCATATTCCTCGTTTTTTAAAAGCAAAAAAGGAGCAGGGAATCAAAATGTTCTATCGGACAACCAGTAGCCTCAGATACCTGTTTCTGACAACTTTCAGATAATGGAGAACTTCGCCTCAATGGTTAGTAACTATTAAAATGGCAGCTTTAGGCAAGCTGCACAATGCTATTCCGTCCGAAGTCCTTAATCACTTTTCTTTCACTCAGGACTGCGAAAGAGGTCTTTTGGCTTATTTAAAAACATAAGAGAGATGGAAGAAAGGAGATGCAGCTTTGACTTTTCAGCATCTCCTGCCACGCGACCTTATGTTCTACCCACATGTGAAAGGGGGCAGGCTTATCGGCAACCCATTTTTGTCACCTCTTGTCAAGAGCAAGGCAGGGTTTATATTCCTAATCTTTTATAGTTCAGAATTTTAAAATGTCACCTGTACTTGATAAAATAACTAGTAGCTGTTCATCTGGTTCAGGTTCTGATGAATCACTCTTCTGTTCTGCTGTCAAAAATATTTATACCTGAAGGATAATTTAAAAAGTGGTGAGAGGATTAGAAAAGCCCAAGCATTGTGGTTTCAAGGCATTTCAGGTCTTCAGGCATATTTCAATACCTTAACACACTGGTTCCTGCCTTTTCTAGTGAAGTAGCTTTTATAACTCTGTACCTAAAAAGTGCAACTTCATCTTTAATCCTTCTTTAAACATGCAGCATGGGTGGGTGTGGATGTGAATCCTACTTATCCACCTAATCCCTTTCCCCCGTGAACACCGTGACAACAGACTGCTGTGCGACAAGTAGGCAACCAGGGAACGCGGTGGGCCTTAAACATGAGGTGCTTATTTCACTGTCACAGTTGAAACTCCTTGAATTGACTCCATGACAGCTGCAAATCGACTACAAAGGTCATAGGGAGAATTAGGTCGAATAGTTGGTGGTTCCTTCAAGACAATGATTTCTGCAGAAGGATCCAGAAGCCTGGGTAGAAACTCCCCTAAGCACAGCTGCAGATTTTCTGTAGAGGGAAAATGGATAATTACATGTACAGCTAAAATGGGTCCCTAAGTAAAAACTAATAAGCCTGCAACTATATCGGAAGACCTTCAAATGGCTTGCTATTCAGCCTCAAAGGTCAAAGCATTATGCTTACCAGCTAACTACAAATGATACATTTATGCTGACCAGCAACATAGAGCTACCTACCAAGCAGAGGAAAGCTTTAGGTCACTGCTTTAAGCTATCTGATGCTGGCACAGTTATACTACACATTCACTTTTTCATAGATATGTCTTCTGGTCACTGATCCTTTTTTTTTTTGATACTGGATAAGGTCGATGTGCCCCTCTGTACCATACATATAATAAAATATACCAATGTGTGCAATGGCATTAAAGAAAGCTATAAATCACCCAAATAACTTGATATTACAAGGAAATATGAAAAAAGGAAATAAGCAGAAACTACTTATATAAACTCATCAATGAATGCTACAAACAACATTTGAACAAGTCACTGGAATATCTTCACATGAGTGAGAAAGTAAAAAAGAGCATTTATAACAATATAAACTGACCCTCTAAGTCTACTGAACTTATCTAGAAAATACGTTTGGGCTCCCACCCCAAAATACTTTGGAAGCAAGTGTACTTCATACACTAATTTATTAATCTTGAAGATGCCACATTTAACAATGTATCTTACAACTTCAAGCCAGGGCAAATTCAGTTAAGGATATCAGGCGACCATACTCTGTGTGCACAGCTTTTGGCAGATAAGAGAATAACAGAAGTCTGGCATTCCTGGAGAACGGACTGTTTTCAAACAGGACTTGCTAGCGTACACGGAGGTGCTTGCCAGGCTCAGAGGAAGTAAGCAGGAGTTCAGACACAGAGTCAAGGATCTCACCCCTTGCTTCATAGACTCATTTAATTCATTATCTTCTAGGGACTTCCAATTCCCTAAAATGCTTTGACTGCTAGTGCTAGAAAGAAAGACCACTGTAATTTCCAGGATTCATAAAACCTTAGCAATTACTGCAGATGCTAGCAACGTACCTGCAATATCCTGCCCAAGGTAAGAGCACCAGTGGTTCCTCATGACTTCAATGGCATCTAGGTCATCCTTGGAGATGTCATTATTAATGATAAGGTGAATGCACGGAATGATTAACTCATTCATCACATTAATGCCCTCTGTTACAGAGTGGTCATCATTTGTTTCGAAGAGAGAAGCTGCTCTGGCATTTAGCTCCTACAGATAAAAGGCAGAATTGGAGAAACTGGCTGAAAAAGATCACTATCTATTTAATAAGAATCTAAACAAATGGCTCCCCTATTCTACTGCATACTGGAATTACCAGATGACCTTGAAAAACCACCAGTAGCTGGTTCCCACCCCATGTACATGGATGTAATTAGTGCATTGATGACCTGGGAATCAGGATTCATAAAAGCTTACAAAATGATTTTACTGCAAGCAAGTCTGTGACCAACTGGCCTAAACTTACAAGTCAAGGTCACGTTTAACAGTTGCTTCCACTAAAAAAATCTTATCCAATGGTTGCCACTTTCCACTGAGCATGAGAATGTGCTGCATTAAGCCAGGTGGCACATATCTGTAGTGATAGCGCTCTGGGAGGCTAGGGCAGGAAGACTGCATTCCAAGCCCAGTCTAGGAAATTTAGCCACGTTACCTAGGCTGTCTCAAAATTTAAAAATAAAAGTAATAAAATATAAAATAAAATAAGGGCCGGTGATGTTTCTCAGTGCAAAGGCCTTCCTGGGATCAATCCCCAGTACCAGGGAGGAAAAAAAGAATCCTTTACCAGACACACTGATACCCAGATTCCTCTCCAGAGAGTCTGGGTAACTGCCTGTGGAGGTGTCTGGATGTAACTCCTTCCTGAAAGTTCACTACATGATTAGGAAACGCACTGGAGGGTTGAAATCCAGTGATGGAAAGACTAAATCCCTACTACTGCATTACTGTGGAAGCTGAGCAGGACATTAAAATGTCAATCTGCATTTGGTGATTTAAAGTATGAAAGTATGACTAAGAAAGCTTAGTTCCAACAATTCTATGCCTTTTCAGCCTCACAGTTAGTCCTGCTACACTTTAATTGATACAAGAATCAAAGTATAAATCAGAAAAATGAAAATGCTGAGATAGCGTATGTTGTGACTTCATATCCGTTAACAAGATCAAGGCAGAGCAGGCAGCGGGGTTAGGGCCGCTTTTCCGCATGGCTGTCAGATGTAGAAAGGGCCAGGTTAGGTTTAGTTGTCACTAGTGTGTGACAACGAGTCTGTAGAAAAGTAGGACCATTACCTCTTTAAGAACTGGAGTCTCTTAGAAGCCCTTAAAATGTTCATCTGTTAGCCTAGTAGGGAATACTGGAAAAATACCGCACTCCTTCAGCAGCCATTTACTACATGCTTACTATGTGCCGGACTCAGGAAACAGCTAGCTAAGAGGATCCGTGACAATGAGCGCACAGTCTAGTAGGAAATACTGCGAGCAGGGGCTGGGGATTTAGCTCAGCGGCACAGCACCTGCCTGGCAAGTGCAAGGTCACGGGCTCGATTCCTGGTACCAAAGAAAAACCAAAAATAAAGAAATACTGTGAGCAAAGCTATAGAGAATAGGATGGCTGACTCCCAGCTCTCTGGGTTAAAGAAGAATGATACTCAATTAAGGCAATGTAAAACAAACCCGTTCCAATGTAAAATTGCTCATGAAAGCTTGGGAGGAAAATCTAAAATCTGTTAGAGGTGATTACTGTAAGTTATAGCTCATCATGGTTTCGAGGAGCAGAAACATACTTATCATCCACACACATACACACAAACACAAATCAAAATCTCCAGGCTTTACAAATAGTACAGACCAGAAGGCATTTTCTTCGGTATAAAGCAATCACTGATTCCTTCACCCCTCTGCGAGGCCCCTTCATGAGGAGAGTGGCGTTGCTCTGGTAGGCATAGACCAGGTAGGACAGGGCTTCTTGATACCTTAGAAAACGGGAAATAAAATGCAGCTGACTTCTGTACTGCCAAAATCTAGGGCTTAGACCTCATTGTCCCCCAATACAAAAATCTACTTGGCTGCAATTACAGAAAAGCCTTAAAAATGGCATCAGCCTGGTAAACTGGGAGAAGTCTACAGGCCAACAGCCAGTCTCAAACTGGCCAAGAAACGCCAGGCAAATCAGGGAACTTCTCTGGGCCTCAGTTTTTTCCACCTCTAAAACTAAAAAGGAGACTAGGCCAGGAGTGGTGGTGCACCCCTGTGATCCCAGCACTCCAGAGTGAGCTCAAGGCCAGCCTGAACTGCAGAGTCAAACCCTGTCTCAAAAAGACAAAAAAAAGACTATACGCTCACTGGAGTCCACGCCAACTTGAAAACTCCCAAGTGCACCCTCATTTCTCACAAAGCACATCTGGTGCAGTGCACGTCCTCACCCATAAACATGTCGTTTAGTTGAAGGATGAAAAAAACATGCAATGTTCAGAGTAAAACTGAAGTGAAATGCTGGGAAGAAGTAGAGGCAAGCTAGTGTACATGACAAGGGAGGGACGTATGGCTGTGACTTCAGTGTCCCTAGGTGGGTCTCAGTGACTGTCCTGAACAACAATCTAGGTGAAATAAAAAACCAACATACTTTCCTTTTTGATAGAGTTCCAGGCCTGTTAGGAGATACACAGACACCTTTCGAAACAAACTATAATCTTCATGCCATTTCTGAAAAGGAAGGACTATCGTTAATGATTTGTCCTCAGTAAACTAGGGCTGCACCTTCCACCTCGATAAACTTTAGGTTTAAAAAAATAAACTTTCACACACAAGTCTATTCAACGCTGAGAATAAAAATCTACCGCTAACCTTAATTTGTAAAGTTCTCTCCCTTCAACTAAGAAACAGAAATATTTCACAGAAGCTTTAGAATATTGTTTCAACATTCACACAAAAGCCATTCAGTCCTTAGCTGATTGGTGGCACACATCTCTAAGCTGCTCAGAAAGCTGAGGCAGGAGTATCCCAAGGCTGAGGACAACCTGGGCAACCTGGTAAGATGCTATCTCAAATTAAAATTTTAAGATAGGGGTGGTAGCTTGGTGATACAATGCTTGATTAACATGCTTGAGGTCCTGGGTTCCATCCGCAGGGCCCTTAAAAAAAAAAATCACTCAGAACTAGCTTGAATGACCTATCAGTACGGACAAGCTCATCCACATAGAGGAAGATGAGAGGAAAAAGCTATGCCCACACACAACCTCAGGCTCATGAAGTGTGGTAAGCACACCTCGGCAGAGAACACTGTGTTTTACACGGAACACAACGGTTTTTTAAAAAAATCTGTAGCTGTATATATTTTAATATACATTAGAAAACAATACGATTTTTGGAAATCAAAAACACAAATTTCAAGAATTTTACTGCCTAGAACAAGGCTCTAGTAGGCACTTAAGGAACATGAAGTATTGTTCTGGTTCATTCTAACAGAAAGATGGACATAAGGAGACCTGCTATTTGGATAACAAAGTTCATTTTTCCAATCTTTTCCAGACTTTTTAACAAGTCACACAAGTAACACAAATTGTCATTTTGCCTCAGGTATGATTAACCTCCAGAATTAACTTTTTTTTACTTTGTAGATTAAAAAACAAACAAACAAAAAAGCCAGGAATAGTAGTGCACACCTTAAGCCCAGCACGCAAGAAGCTGAGGCCGGAGGATCACAAGTTTGAGTCCAGCCTGGGAAACTTAGTAACATTTCAAAAGAGAAAACAGTTCCGGTAACGTAGCTCAGTGCCAAGTCCCTGCACTCAATCCCCAGTACGGAGGGGAGGCCTCACCTTGTACTCGTCCATATTCATATCATCTGGACCAATTTCCTTTAGTTTCGCCTGAGCCACCTTCATAATGCTGATGGACCTGAGCAGAACAAAGTTAGAAGACAGTGAAAGGGCGCAGGGCAAAACCTCCCTATCAGAAGAATCAGCCAGGCCCACGTGAGGACAGGCTGCCGGAACACTCCCTTCTCACCTTTCATCATAGCTCAGATTTTTATCTGCAAACTGTTCCAGAAGGGTCCGCTCTACTACCCTTTTGGGTGCTTCATTTTGGAAAAAGTAGACAAGAACATGCTGAAGGCGAGGGTCACTGTGAGAGGTGGGGGTCTCCTTGGCAAGCTGATAGAGCCTGGAGTATTCTTCGTGGAACGCCTATTAGAGAGCGCCGATAGTTAGGAAAGGGTGCGCTGGGAGTCTGTGCACAGAGAAATCCATACCTAAGGGAAGGTCTCCTAACTCCACAGTAATTCCAAAGGATTCCTAGTGAGGAACTAAGAGAGCAATTATGGAGTCTCTGAGTTGTTTGCATATCCTAAAGGATGAAACTCCTCTAGCATTCTAGCACCAAAACCACATTAAATTTAAAACAGTATTCTCATGAGATTCATGAAAAAACAAGTGGTTAGTGTGTTGGCCAGGCCTGGTGCTACACGTCTGTCCTCCCAGCACTCTGGGAGCCTGAGGCAGGAGGACTGAAGTTCCAGCGCAGCCTGGGTAACCCAGCAATTTAGTAAGACTCTGTCTCAAAATTTAAAGATGGGTGGGGATGTACCTCAGTGCAAATACACTGAGTTCAATATTCGATACTTGGAAAAAAGTATTTCACTTGAACTGTTATAAGCATATCCTTGCAGCCAAAGACATGAATTTTCAAAAATCCATACAAATGTATTCAAGTATCTTAAGTTTTATTCAAACACCTTAAAAAGCAAGACCTACTTTCTTATATTTAGGCCTCCAAGATGATAAAAGTACAACCTTATTCACAGCTTAGTGTCTCCTAAGAACAACAAAAGCCCGTGTAGGCGAAGCGTGACACAGGCTGGCACAGCTAACCAAGGCTTGAGAAGAGGGACCCAGTGTACTGCGGGACAGCTTGTTCACTAGCTGGATGGGAAGCAGATTTATGTGTCACTTCAATGAAGGCCATTTTGACCCCCCTTCCTAGTTTATATACTTATTGCTCCAATATTATGACACCTGGGTTGCAAGAATTAAAATTTTAAAATCAGAGATACCTTAATAAGCCCTGCTTCAGACCCATCTCGGTCAAAGGTCTGACGGGCTTTGGCTATGGCCAGGATGACCCCTTGCATGGCAGGGCTCAGCATCACCTACCACAAGAGGGCGTAAAACACAGAGAGAGAAAAGGGAGAAGAAAGGTTCAAAAGAAGATTGTACGAGAGAGCGCAACAACGCTGAGAGAAGTGGAGCATGTGCTCCTTGGCCAGCATCAGCTGAAGTCAAGTCTCACACCCCACTCCTGCATGCATGCACAGCCTCTGGTCCTCACACGGTGCCAACACCATGCCCAAGCCCAGCTGTTCCTAGACTACACATTCGCTCTCATGTAGCAAGATAAAGCAAAATGCAAGGTGAAAACATCTCCAATGTGGCACTGCTGAAAATTAAATCACAGCTCTCAGAGAGGAAGTGGCTGAGGTCAGACTTGTAACTTAGTTCTGTAAGTTTGGGTGAATAACTTAAATACACTTAAGTATTTTAGAGTCTTACTAGGAGGAACATTATACTTAGCGATTCTGAAAACTGGGGGCTGCAGAAATGATTCTTTAAAATCTTTCAAAGATTAAAAAAATACTGCACAGAACAAAAGCCCAAGAGGACTCGTAACTATTTATGTGCAGTGCAAATGAAAAGGAGACAGATGGCGAATAACTTAGTATTCTGCAGCTTCTTGCTAAACCTTTAGGATTAAAAGAAAAAACTTTAATCCACATCTGAATTTTGCTTATTGGGCAACTGAAAAATTTCTAATTGGAGGGAACACAATGGACTAACACCAAGAACAAAGACTCCCCTGAAGGCAATCTTCTGTCCAAAGGACCAAAAAAGAAACTAAATTCTACCTTTCTGAGGTTCCTAAGAGTGTGTCTCTACACACACATACACGAGAGCGGCACACAGCAGAACAGAACCAGCTACTGACAGACACCTTAAGAAGGACACTGAGTCACACGAGCAGAGATGGAAGACTGGCTGCACTCATCGCTGTACCTCCTCATCATATCCGTCTGCATCAGATCTAACCACAATCCTCCCCACACTGGGAATCTCGACTTCAGAGACCTCAGCATTGGGCTGGGCGGCAGACACTGCGCCATTAGCCTTTGGGGGCTGTTCTGACTGCTCTGCAGGGTTTGTTTCCTGGGGCCTGGGCTTCTTGGGTTCAGCTTCCTTAAGCGGTGGCAGCAGAATGGGGAGAAAGAGTATGGAAAAAAGAGGAGAAATAACAAGTGGTTGGTTAAATGCAGCAGACACAGAGTAACAGAAACATGAGAAACGTCAACTACTGCTGAAAGCCAGACTCTCGCAGCCGCGCCCCCTCGCCCACTCACCTCACTCAGGGCTGCTTCCACACCACTCTTCTCGTAGGCGTGTGCCGTGTTCGCAATGGCCTGGGCAGTCTGCTCCTTCACGATCACCGCGTGCTCAGACGACAAGCAGCGGACCCCATGGGAAGAGGCTACTGGAGGCTCTGATGAACAATCGCATGAAGACATTAGCACCTGGTGACAGTAACGTCAGAACACACTGCCAACAAGCAAGCAGGACGGACGCGCGGTTTAAGACAACTGCAGTAACACTAGTGACTCCATGCAATGGCCATTCCAGTAAAACCCCACTGAAGAGTCTATAAAATTTACTGTGCTCCCAATTCTGTTGTATTGCTTTGTGCCAAGGAAACTTCCTAAAAGCAACCACCTGTCAGGAAGAGCTCCTTTGGAAGACAGTTTTTATAAAGTCTATTTAATCCTATTATAATACAGGTAGTATTTCTGTCATCATTTCTTTTCTTGTCTTTTTGAGACAGGATCTCGCTATGCAGTTCAGGCTGGCCTTAAACTCACTTTGTAGCTCAGGCTGGCCTCGAACTCACAGGGATCCTCCTGCCTCAGCCTCCCGAATGCTGGGATTACAGGCAGTGCTAGGATTATAGGAATGCGCCACCACACCCAGCCCTTCTGACATAATTCCTACCAGAAATCACACTCTGATTTATTCTACCAGGTTGTGCAATACCAACTATAGATGCAGCACATGATGAAGACTTGTGCAGTTGCTTAGTTACTGAGGCGTTCAGGGCTGGCTGGGCAAGCACAGCAAATGTGTCACCAGGTCACCCACACGGTGCCCCTCCTGGGTACCTTGTGATGAGAATTCCTGTGGTGCAGAGCTTGAGGATTCCATCTGAGGTATTTTGCAGGACTGCTCTTCTTCCCACTCCTCTACCTCCTGTTCAAACCTCCAGTTGTCTTCCTGAATGTAATGTTTCAGCTCAACAGATAAGGTTTCCAGTTCTCCTATCATTTGATCAGATTCACTGGGGACTGTCTCTAAGGGAAAGAAAAAAAGAGTTCAATCCAGAGAAAGGTCTCTGGGAGCAAAAAGTCCTCTCTGGAAAGAATGCAGAACACTTCATCTTTTTTCTTGCCCTAATTCAACAACAACAACAAACACATACATATCAAAAATAATGGCACTGTAAGGCCAGTAAGAGCACATTAGTAAATTAAATTCTGGTACCAAGTAAAATAGGCATTAAGTTAGACTGCTGTTAGGCTTGTGTACAGGTCCCAAATATGGTGAACATTTTCAAGGCTACTCTGTTTTCAGACAAACTAACTTTTGAGTTGGAAAGGTAAATAAATGTAGATTGTCTTTGTTTTGGATCTATAGTTGAAGGAGTTCCGAGATCCTTCAGAAAGGTCATCTAGTTCACTGTCTGGTTCTAACGTTCTAGAAGTGAGAAATAATTCATAAATTCCAAGGCCGAGTTACCATTAGTTTAACTGAATTAACAAGATGTTTGATGCAAATCCCGTCTCAAACCCCACTACTGTATACATAGCCACTTTGCCTCTTTGTGGTAACTGCTGTCAAGGTTGAATTTTAATGACCGAAACATTATCAGATTAGTTTGCCTAACCTAACTCAGCAGAATCTAATCTAATCTAACCTAATCTAACGTGCAGAGCACATAAGTAAAGGGCCTAGCACATTGGTAGGTAGACACTTATTAAGTATCTGTTAAGTGAATGAATGACAGCAAAGATCAGGAATCATGGCCAATCACTGCACATACCAAACGTTTCTTGGCAATTTAGAAAATCAACAGATCCAATGGTAACAGTTTTATCAATTTAACTACTGTATCTATTCACAACAAGATCTATCTTAAAAGGCTCAGATAAGAATCATGTGTACTTCCTCAAGTTTCACCCAGCACTTAGGGGGCTAAGGCCAGAGGATCCCCAAGTTTGAGGCCATCCTGGGCTACATAGTGAGTTCAAGGACAGCCTGAACTACATAGCGAGACCCTGTGTCCAAAAAAAAAAAAAAGCAAGCAAGCAAACAATGTGAAACAATGGTTAAAGAGTCCATTATGCCTATTAAAAGCTATGATGAAAATGGCAAGTATATCAAGGTCATTTTAAATTTCACTGCTAACTCTATGACCAAAAAGCCTACAACAGAGTAACACATTCACTTATTTACTTGATGTCATTAACTGACCTGAAACTAAGCAAGTGACAGCTTCTACTTCTTGTTTCTATAATGTAAAAATGAACAATGTGGCCAGTAGCAAGGTTCCTATATACACCCAAGAGCTAAAACAGTCATTTGTACATTAACACATATGCTATACTCCCAGCCCTTTTTTGAGTCAGGGTCTCGTTAAATTGCTCAGGCTGGGACTGAACTTGTGAACTCCTTTTCATTTGGTTTCTCAGAGTGCTGGGATTACAGGTCTATGCCACCATGCCTTGCACAAATATGTAGTTTTGAACATTGGTTATTATTAAATGATCATTCTGTTGGGCCTAGTGGCTCACACCTGTAATCCCAGCACTTGGGAGGCTGATGCAGGAGGATTGTTGCAAGTTTGAGGCCAGCCTGGGCTACAAAGTGAGTTCAAGACTAGCCTGAACTGCACTGCAAGACCCTGTCTCAAAACGGCTAAATAAATAAATAAATACATACATAATCATTCTCTCCACCCCTACCTCCCAGCTGCACTAGCAAGTCTAAAAGACAATGTGCTGCGTGGAAAAATGCCTTCCATATTTTCTTATGCAATATGATGAAGTCTGAGTACTAAGAGAAAATAAGCCTATTTATCTTACATGTAAAATGCTGGTCATAAGACTTCTCAAAGCAGAAATAAAAAAAGAGAGAGAAGAATGTAAATTTAAACAGTACAGACATAGGAGACTGAAGTGGATCTGAATCTCAGGTTGGTATTTATTTACTAGCTGTATGACTCCAGACAACCATGGACATTTTTAAAGCCTATTACCAGCTGGAAAATGAGAATAATATCAATTTCTACCCTATCTTGCTTTAAGAATTATCAGTTACTAGAGAAATAGTTTCCAAGCGTTCATTAAGGAATAAAGTGCCAATATAAATTGTAATTATCATTGCCCTTGGTAGTACGAGAAGTATGAAACTTCTCAGATAAATATACTGCAGACAATTTTAAAAAGCTGAGGCAGGAGGATCACTGTGAGTTCGAGGCCAGCCTGGGCTACAAAGTGAGGCTCAAGGCCAGCTAGACCCTGTAGCAGGACCCTGTCTCAAAAAACAAAACAAAACCCGCCAAAACCCCCCAAAATATATTTTGAAATAGGAAAACAAACTCATTTTTCTTTCTGTTCCTTTTATACTATTCATATTTTTAAAAATGCATTATTACCTAATAAATTATACTTTAAATGCTTTCAAAAGAAGCTTAAGACTGTTATCCTCCATGGACAGTATCCATGTTCCCCAACCTCCAGGTTATGCTAAGATATTTTTACCTGCATTAAAGTGCGGTAGCTTGTCATTAATATACATCAGACAGTAAGCACTAACGTTTCTCAGGCCCCCGTATGAATCTCTTTCAAGTTCTTCCCAGGAGGATTCGGTAACTGAGATGTCATTGTACTTAAGCCAGATCTGCCGGGGTTGGTTATAGACATAGGCCCAGTAGTGTCCAGCATTCGCTTGCCCTTCATGAACAAGCACCGCATGCAGGTGATAAGGCACCTGCGAGTCAGAAAGGAAACGGCTCAGTTAGGTTAGGTAAACGGATCTGATCAAGTTTAGGTCATCAAAATTCAACCTTGACAGCAATTACCACAAAGAGGCAAAGGGGCTATCTGTACAGGAGTGGGGTTTGAGATGGGGTTCACATCAAACATCTTGTTAATTCAGTTAAACTAATGGCAACTCGGCTTTGGAATTTACGAATTATTTCTCAGTTCTAGAATGTCAGAACCAGACAGTGAATTAGACGACCTTTCTGAAGGATCTCGGAACTCCTCCGACTACAGATCTAAAACAAAGATAACCTACATTTATTTATCCTTCCAACTCAGAAGTTAGTTAGTCTAAAAACAGAGTAGCCTCGAAAATGTTTACCATATTTGGAACCCATAAACAAGCTAACAGCTATCTGACTTTATGCCTATTTTACTTGGCATCAAAATTTAATTTACCATATTCCATAATTCATCAGTCATATGCTTCTTATAATTCTTCTTGTGAATGACCGTCACCTATCTGGGGTGAAGGCCCTTTCTACACTTCATTGTTTTGACAATTAAGAAGGAAGTATTTTTTTTTCAATAGGGACAAAACAGAACAATGCTTAAAATAAGCACTGGTGAGAGAAAGGAAAGCCAGTTATAGAATCAAATTGAAAGTACACTTAATCAGCACCTCGCCACGATTGTACTGGTGGCGGAGATGGAAGTAACAAAAGGACGAGGGGGAAACCCTGAGAAGCTCATGGCGTGGTGCGTTACGCCACAGGACCGAGCCCCTGCTACTGCGAAGCACAGCTCTCCTCCTGAAGTCACGGTGCCTGTGGGCTGTGACACAGGTGGCTCCTAAGGCCAGGATCCAGTGCTGTTCTGAACAAAAATTTGTGTGGACAATAAGAATTTCTGCGCTGCCTGACTCCTTTTTGAAGGATTAAGTTATTAGAGAAATGAAACTTGAAAGCATGATGCTAACGGATCTCAAAGGATCATGGTACTCTGGCCTTGAACTCACAGCGATCCTCCTACCTCCGCCGCCCAAGTACTTGGATTACAAATGTGTGTCCCCATGCCCGGCTGACCATGGTATTCTGGGAAGCGGGGATAACCAGTTCCTGGATCAGTTTTCCCCGCTGCACTACTTACATTCCCATTTTGTGAGAAAATTTTATTAATATTTGACAGCAAACCTTTCTACTATATGAAACAGTACCTCACAGCAGAATCAAAACAAAGATGCTCTACATTCTACTGCAGGTAAGCATACACTGCTATTTTTAACTCAAAATAAAGGAACAATGAATTGTTTGTTATATTTACTAATGAATCTTCGGCTTATTCTTATATCTCAGGAAGACTCACACTTCGTTTCCAAGAAAACTATCATATATTCTTGTATCTGTCATTAACCGGCCTTGACTATCTCCCCACCCGTCTTTACTCTACCTGACGAAGGACAGGATCACAGTACATCTGCTCAATAGTCTCAGTGGTGCTTGCAATACAGTTCTGTAAGTCTGTCAAAAAAGAACACTTTGTTAGAATTGTCTCGTTCTACATCACACCGGCTGCCCAACGAAGCATCTTGTCAGTCCACACAGTTCTAAAGGTTCCAACTTCCCAGTAAGGAGCACAAAGCGGTGTAGTTTTACACTCACTAATGCCTTCAGTTATAATGGCCTTTTTTTTAAGTTATGAAGGCTTTTAATCCATTACATTGAGCTTTTCAAAACCATTTTTATAATCAGTATAAAAATTCCCTTTTTGTTTGTTTGCTTTTCTGAGACAGGGTCTCACTGTGTAGTTCAGGCTGGTCTTAAACTCACTATGTGGCTCAGGCTGGCCTCAAACTCACCTCCTGCCTTGGCCTCCCACATGCTGGGATTACAGCCGTGAGCCATCATATCTGGCTAGTATCAAAACTTCTAAAAGAAGCAACCGTTTCTTGAATTTTTAAGAAAAATTTCAATGGGTTGCTTAGGTATACAGTCATATGTGCCAGCAACAGGAACTGAAATGAGACAGCAGGCTTGGCATGATGGCACCCACACACAGGAGCCCAAGGCACGAAGATCACCCTGAGTTTGACGCTAGCCTGGGCTACACAGTGAGCTCAAGGCCACTATACAGACAGAAAGGAAACAAATACAGACAGAAAGAAAGCAAGCAGCAAGTCAGGCCTGGTGGTACAAGCCTGTAATCCCAGCACTTAGAAGGCTGTGGCAGGAGGATCCCTAGGAGTTTGAGGACAGCCTGAGCTATGGAGTGAGTTTAAGGCCAGTCCAAAATATACAGCAAGGCTTGGTCTCAAAATGAAACAGGCAACAAGGGGAGGGGAGGGAAGGGTACGAGAGGAGAGGAGAAGGAAGGGGAGGGGAGAGAGAAGGGGCAAGGAGAAGGGAGAAGGGTGAAAGGAAGGGAAACAAGCCAGGAAAGAAATGGAAGGGAAGAGAAAGGAAGGGGAGAAGAAGGATAGAAGAAGGAAGACCAGTTAATCTCAGTAAAGGCGATGACGAGTGTCTAAGCATCTACAAATTTCCGAAGATTTTGAGGGAGAAATCTAGAAGGGATCTTTCCGCAGCTGTATAATAGTACAGTGCATGAAAACTGCAAAAAAGTAACAATCACCAGGCCAGAATTCATGTACAGCGATGTCAGAACATGTACCCAAGATGCCTTGCTTCTAAATATTCAAGCAAACAGAAAAGACAGAGTCACCAACAAGTTCTAAAAGCTCCCACCTTGTATGTCCTGCTCGATTTCACTCCTCCACCTCTGAAGACAGGTCTTAACAAAGTTCATCTCCTCAGGCGTGACTGTGCGAGGGGCCGGGTGTGCAGGCATTCCCAGGGGAGACCGGCCCGAGGCCAGTGGCCTGCTCGTCCCCTCAGACTTGTGCAGATGGTCTTCACAGGGAGAAAAGGTGTGGTCAACATCTTCAGAAGAGCTTTCTGGACTTGTACTACAGAAGACAAAAAACACGCTCATGGAACATTTCCAAAATATATGTCAGCCTAAATTAACTAAATGTTCTGGAAAACAGGCTGCTATATGAAAGAAGTATAGCTATTACTTAGGGAATATTAACTCTGTAAAGCAATTAAGCCCAAGTTTCTTAGATGAATTATCTTACTTAACACAACTTACACTATGGTATTACTATCCTTCCTTTATCAGTGACAGACCGAACATTTAAAAACTTAAGCAAGTTACTGAAATTTACTCAGCCAGTGGGTGACAGAAGAGATCAAAGCCCAGATCTGTGTAAACCTTTGGTTCATATCTTTTAACTGCTAATTACAATGTCTTCTCATAAAAAAGGACCAGCAGAAACACAGAAAAGGCTGGGATTGGAACAAAGAAAGAATTAACTACAGTGGCCAAGACAACTGTCTAAATGAGGCTCTCCGCCCAGGAACGAAACACACAGAAGCAAGGAAAATGACGTATCTACCAGCTAACATCCAACCACAGCAATGTCAGCAGCACCCCCTTCGAGCGTCACAGAGCAGGCTTCCAGTCAGGCAATCCCAGTTCTACCCCTGCTGAGCTAACTGCCCAACGTAGCAGGGTCAGTCTTAGTTAGCAACTTACTCTTTCTGCAAAGTGTACATCTTCAAAATTCTAACCTAATCTTCCTATAAAATCTCATCTACAAAACGTAAATATTAAAACTTCTTTATTTCAATGCTGTAAATTAACAGAGAAAAAGAACATAAGGTAAATAGGACCTTATCTACTGATTAATTATTGTCAGAGTAAAAATGCATATCGACAAAAAGGCAGGGATACAAAGTTAAGTTTCCCATTATACTTGGGTGCCTGTTTTACCCCAAAACAGGAGAATGTAAACTTCCTCTAGCTTTGACTTGAAACTCTCGTTCCCCTAACACTGCATTTAGAGAGAATAACTGGCTTTTCTTTAAACCTAAAGAGCACTAGCACTTTTATTGGCCAGGACACACACGTCAAGTGTGACCTGCACCGACTCTGACTCCTCCGGGACACGGTGACTGTCACACCTGACCCAGCTGGGATAGAGTCAGAGGCCGAGGGGACCTGGCTCCCGATTTCCTTACTAGACAAGCCCCGCTGGGCCGGCCTCTCTGCTTTCTAGCCAGCCCCTTCCCATGTTCTAATTCTGCACTCATGAGTAAGTCCCTCCTCGCTAGGAAGACCAGGGCTTGACTTTCCTCTGAGAACAGTGTCAGTGCAGCCAGCTCAAAGCACGGTAGTCCAGGCAGAGTACAAACGCTGTCCTGCACAAGGAAAAGCCTCTGCACAAGCCCCAGCAATTCTGGGGGTGAGACAAGGATGCTGAACACTGCGACGTGAGTAAGAGCCGGCAGAACCCTTCCCTCCAGACAAAGAGCTCCGCCGGACATGGCGGCACACGCCTGTGATTTCAGCACCTTGGAAAGCAAAGGCAGAGCCTTTGGAAAGCAAGTCTGAGGAAAGCAAGTCTGAGCCCAGACCAGGCAACTGAGTGACTTAGTGAGACTCTGTTTCAAAATAAAATACTAAGCCAGGCGTGGTGGCGCACACCTGTAATCCCAGCATTCAGGAGGCTGAGGCAAGAAGATCACTATGAGTTTGAGGCCAGCTTGGGCTACAGAGTGAGCTCAAGGTCAGCTTGAACTAGGTAGCAAAACCCTCCTGTCTCAAAAAAACAAACAAACGAACAAAAACTCACAGCTCCACCGGGTGAGTGCTAATAAGGTAGAAAGATGATACACTGTTAAAATTCAACAAGAAAATGAATCTGGTTTTCATTACCTTTCTGTGGATGTCGGGTCAGAACCTGGGCAGTGCGCTGAAGAAAGTGGCAATGTCACGTGTGTGTCACTCTGAGGACAGCTTTCCGAGGCAGGCTTTGTACTGGCAAATTCAATAACATATTTCAACATGTCCGGGAGTGGGAACCGAGTTGGACCCGAGCCATATTTCACATACCTAAGGGGCAAAGACAGCGGCAGTCTGTTGTGCACTGTAAGATTTACTAACAAAATCTATGGCATAAAGAGTCAATGGGTAGGTTTATTCTTAAAGCATACAATATTTAATAGGTTACTCAACCTATAAGGTAAAAATTCTCAAACTATGTAAGTAAAATGTGTGCCTGGGCATGGTGGTGTACACCTGTAACCCCAGTACATGGGAGGCTGAGGCAGAAAGATTGCTGCAAGTTCAATGCCAGCCTGGATTACAGAGTAAGAACCTGTCTCAAAGAAAGTCAAAACTGCTAACAAGCTAGCATGTGGCAGGAAACATTTCAAATGGCTCGTCATCAGTCGTGCCAGGTATGCTTTCTCTTGGTGTCATGTCACACTTAGGGTCTGGTATAAAAATAAACTGCTTCTGAAAGAAAAATACAAATGTTGCTGGTACTCTAAACTGAAAGTAATTCTAGCGAACTAGTCAGTACTCAGGGTTTTTTCTTCACTGTCTTTTAGACCAGCTGCTTTACAATTGAGAAAAATGACGGGAGGACACAGATGGAAAGCAGGTGTTGTTGATAAAGCCAGAGTGTAGCCTGGTGACGCTGCCTGTGACCCCAGCTACTGGGAGGCAGAGGCAGAAACATCACAAGCTCAAAGCTGGTGTGAACAACTTTAGTGAGACCCCGTCTCAAAAATAAAATAAAATGAAAAGGCCTTGGGGGTGGAGCTCACAGAAAGAGGTCCCAGGGTTCAATCCCCAGTGCCACAAACAAACAAAACAGAGAGAACTGGCAGACCTTTTTCTGCAGGGTCCTATGCGTACTGTTATTTGCCTACTTATTCAATTACTAAAGATTTCTGCAGGATGGGTAAATAGCAAATATCCTCCAGTGTGTGATCAAAATAATACAAAATATCTTAATAAACGCTAATATTCTGCCACTACTAGTGGTTACTTTAGACTCCTGAGATTCAGCTGAATGAATTTCAGAGTTCTCTAAAGTAGACAGTTTAAATGGTACAACAGTCAACCTGACTGGCTCATACAGGTAACCCCATAATTCTGGGATTCCATTTGATATAAGAATACTCATTCTTTTTTTCTTTTTTTTTTTTTTAACCAGGGATTGAACTCAAGACCTTGCGCTTGCCAGACAGGCACTGTGCTGCTGAGCTATATCCCTGCCTTGTTTTGTTTTTTTAAGACAAAGCCTTGCCATACAGTTCGGGCTGGCCTTGAACTCACTGTGTAGCCCAGCCTGGCCTTGAATTTGCAGCAATCCTCCTGCTTCAGTCACCTGAGTGCTGGGATTACAGGTGTGTGCCACCAAGCCCAGCTCCACATTTTTCTTTTCTGAACAGTGAAAGAAAGTAAAAAACCTGCAAGAAAAAAAAAAACAAAAAAAAAAACCACCTGTTTTTGCATTAAAAAAGACATTATAAAATAAAAATGCTGGTGGAAAATGAAGAACAATGCAACTCAAAGTCAAATGCACATTAGAGGGCAGATAACAAGGGTAGAAAGGGAGCCATCTACCTCTCCTCATTCCCAAATTTGAAGGAGGAGAATCTGCCCGCCACTGAAGTACAGCTTTTACTCCACAGGGCCTCAAAATATATCCAGACAGAAGAACTTTGGAGAGCTGTTCGGCTTCTCAGATGTATTTCCTTGCTTTCCCTCCTGCCACTATCGACTTACCTGAATTTTCTCTAACTTCATACGCAGTGCAGCACTGTAATGTCATAGGACCACAAGCCATCACTTCCCAGCTGTAACTCTTCCCAGGCTGGTGACACTTTAATATAATACTTAGATCTAAAATCTTAGGAAAAACTTTTCTCTAAGAAACCTGTCTTCAATTTTATGCTGATCATTTTTGTGTTCAACTGAATTCTGTTGGACAACTGTTAGGGGCAAGCACTTCATACAACATCTGTTTTGGTCAGTAGAATCAGAGCTAAAGGGGTTTGAAAAATGTTGTCTACACTGTACACAAGCAGTATTATTTTCAATATTACACAAAGGTTATCTTAGAAGAAATGGTAAAATCCCAACCCCTCCAGACAGGGTCTCACTATCTATGCAGGCTGGCCTTGACCTTACTATATAGTTCTGATTAACCTTAAATTCACAATCCTTCTGCCTCAGCTTTCTGAATGCTGGGATTACAAATGTGTGCTAAACAATACCTGCAGAGACTCATTGGAAGCCATTCTTCCCCTGACAGTACAGGCTGTGGTGAAGCTCTGGAGAAGTCTGCAGCAGGATTCCTGCTGCCTGTGCTGACAGTTG